TACCTGGGGCCACAGAGGCCCAGCCACGCTAGTGAGGAGGAGGAGGAGGAGGAGGAGGAGAGCAGGGGCCTGTCGCCCTTCTACCCACAGCACCAGGCACCAGGGCGGAGGGGTCACAGTCTAGGGACACAGACATTCCCCTCTGCCACAAAAGCCCGGCCCAAAATATAAGTTGGTCCATGAAAGAAAATCTAGAAACTACCCTTAGAAAAGAAGTAAGGCTCTGTTAAAATAGCTTTACTGAAGCCAGAGAGACTCCACTAATAAATGCTCGTAAAGGCTTTTACTTTTTCTCCGCTCCCAATTGCTCGCTTTAGGCTAGTTATTTTTTAGCATTTGAGGTGACTAAGGCAAATGCTGCATACGGAGAGGCTGCAACCTATGCAAAACAATCATTTGATTTAAGAACCAGGCTTGGCTGATCTCTTTTCCCCTCCTTAGTGGAGATGAAAAAAGGGGGAGTACCTTCTAGTAAGCGCTGATCATTTTCACGGCCGTTCTTGCACCTGTAACTCAAATAATGAAGCCATTTGTTATTTCTATTGCAGCTTCCCCTCCATTCTGGATTTCTAACAATCTGACCCTGCTTTATGGGCCTGACGGAGCCCGAAACCAGCACAGAGTTCCAATAATTGAACGATACAGGGGAGAAAAATCCTTAAGCGGAATGAGGCAGATGCTAGCTCCACGCAGCCCCCTAACTTGATTATTCTTTGGACGCGTTAGACAAGCAGCGGTGATTGATAATGACGCTAATTAACCCCTCTCCTTCCCACAGCAGCCAGCAGGATCCTGCCAGGGGAGTCCCGGGATGTGCTCAGAGCAGCGCAGGGCCGCGGCGCCGGCGGCCTCTCCCGCAGCACAAAGGTGCGCAGGACGGAGGCTGATGCCCCCTCTACCCCTGCTCTTTTTTTCCCCCTTTTTGCACTAGCCCCTCCCGTGCCCGCCCGCAGGGGCTGCGGATCCGGGCAGGGCGGCCGGGACACGCACGGAGCGGCCACGGGGAGCGGGAAGCGCCCGGGACGGGGTCTGGGCACGAGGCAACAAACGCGGCGCTCACCCGACGGCGGTCGGATTTATCACGGGCAATAAAAAGCCGCCCTTAAACGCAAGGGTTTGGATAAATGAATACTCCTAGCAAGTGAATAAAATGTATTCAATTAACTAAAAACCTCGTGCACTTCTGAACTGAAGTGGAATCGACTGTAATTGATTTATTTGAAACCAGAGGTTAAGGACTGAATTAGCTAAGTACAACTGGGTATTTCAAGCCACTGCCTTCTCAAATGTCAAACCCCTTCTATTTTAAATATTATTTCAGCTGCGGGGCATTGCTGTCCTGATGGCTGTTCCACCAGTTAGATCTCAAATTATATTAATATTCGATTTTTGGAGGGTGGGGTAGGTTACGGCCCAGAGAGGAGGGTTCTCCTCCTTCCTGGGGTCGCGTGGGGAAAGCAGCATCGCGTGGCAGCGGGGTCTCCCCTTCAGCCACCCTCTGCCTAATTTTAGCCAAAAAAAAGTGGGGGGAAAAGCAGACAACAGCGCTTTTTTGTTGTTAGCATATAAAAGCATGACCTAGAACGTGACTGCTGCACATGGGTCCCGACGTTAAAAACGCATCCGAAGGCTGCTGGAGCAATTAGCGCGTTTTAGGAACCGCACATTGGGCACCGCGCAAGAGGCTAAACTGCAGCTAGTCTAATTCCCATCCTCGCCTGTAAAATCCTTCTGTAGAAATAGCAATAATAATAAAGAAATCTTCACAAGGACATTTCATTTCTCTTTTCTGGTGGCTTGCGAATGTAGCAGAAGGATACTTAAAATGTGCTCTCCGAGCATAAAGCAGCTAATTATATCTTTAAAACATTATTTATTATGACCTTATAATGTTCTAGCATAAGACTGCTTTGTACATTGCCCAGTATAAAGCGATTATATTGGGTACAGGTTTCAAAAAGTAACAAGCATCTGTAAATCCAGATATGAATGAATGGTATTTAATAAGATTGTTTTCGTTTAAAAATGAGTATTTATGTGCTGCTGTAGAAAGAGCAGCAATGTATTGCTGTTTATGAATGCTATTGTGCCCGAGGTTAGGATCCCACACACAATCTGAGATGCAGCCAAGAAAAACAGCCCTGATAGACAATGCTTCACTTCACCTGCTACAACGCTGCGCATTTCATTTATGTCAAGAATATGTACAGTTAGGGTTCATTCACCTCATTATTTTGTTACATCTACTTTACAGTTAACCAGTCTCTCTTGGAAATAATAAATAACTGTTTTTAAAACAATTGCAGCTTTGCATTCAGAAGATCCGCTTTCAATTTATAAGGAGGGGAAAAAAACACATATCCACCATTTTTATAAACTGGCCGGCTTTCGAAAATAGAATTAGACTCCACCAACTCTCTTTCTGCTTGGCAAGATTGATTTTACACTGCCCTCCATAAGTAGATTACCAAAGCAAAATGAAACATCTTGGGCTTTATCTAATGCTCTGCTTCACCAGCCCTACCAAACGTCAAAATATATAAGCAAATGTTAATTCTCTTTGCAGCTTTATCGTAAACACCTCCCATGTAACCTCCTCAATTTCTGTCTGAGCAAAAGAAAAAGAGAGGGAGAGAAACAGAGAGAGAGGAGAGAGAAACCAGTCACCACCACCAAAATATCATCGCCACTTAAAGGAGACCATCCCTTTACATTTTAAACTGCATTAGCCTCTTCTCCCATGATTCTGTATAATCCAGAGTGATTCTGGCTTCAGCCACCCCGTGGGCCAAAGAAAAGGGGATTCAGACCCCAAATCCTCGCATGTTTTTACAGCCTACCTACAAGCTGCCCACTCCATTGCTAAAGCAAACTTCCTATTTTACAACCAGTTTCCACAAGAAACTTTAAAAATTCCAGCTCCTCATAAGCTGCCACGACCGCCTCTCCACGTCAATCCGCGCACCGCACTAAAACACGGACCATCCACCAGCAACACTCTGCCCCCCGACACAGCTCAGCCTAGTTCAAAAGCATGCGAGGATTTTGCTGGCCACAGGCTACAGAGCTTTTTTTTTTCCCTCTTTTTTGAGGGGGAAGGAGCACCCAGCTCTGGTTCAGCGCTACCTCATTTTTTTCATAGCACCCGATTTTCAGCATTTGCTCTGTCATGGTTTATTCTTTTTAAAATGTCCTTCTTGAGACAGGTGATATTTGTGTTTCTCTCTCCACTCTCTGTTAGGACAACTACATGTACAAAATTACGGGCTTATAATTCTGTACGCTATGTGTAAACGTAAATAAAAACCTAGAGGTCAACATAAATAAAATAAAACTTTATTTTTTTTTAAATAAAATTATGTTTTGGTTAAAGAAAAGATAGTGTGTCATTTTGTTAGTAGTACAGACAATTTTTTATCCAAAAGAATACATTGTGCTTTATTGTGTCATTTGTCTGAATACAGACTCAGTGGAATATCTAAATGATACCCTGCTCTGAACTCCAAGTTGAAAGTAAGTTTTTATTATACTTGAGGGAAACAATGGGTTCAGCTGCTTATTGCAAGGAGCAATTGTCAAGGGAGAGTTAAACTCAATTACTGTAACCATACTGAATAAAAAATACTGCCAAGAACAAAAATACGCCTGGGTAAAGACAGCCACTGAATAAAAAAATCGACATAAAGCGTATCAAATATTTATTTATCTGGGCAACAAAGGACTATGATACATTGACAGGCATGGAAACTACTGCCGGCACAACTCAATACAATACAACTATAACTGCTTCCAATATGGCCAGTGGAAATACAGGATACCAGGTGGTCCCAAATGTTTGAAGTTCTTTAGAAAAAAAAAAAAAAGAGAAAAACAAAAGAAAGGGGAAAAGAAAAAAAATATAGGAAAAAAAAAGCGGGGGAAAGAAAAGCTAAGCCTTGATTTAAAAGACAGTATTAATTTATTGCTCTGATGGTGCTTTCAAGAGGACAGTGGATGAAAATAACTTTGTATTTTCCACAACACATAAGGGTTGTAAAACCACTAACGTTTAAAAATCTTGCCAGGGTCCAACATCACTTAATTTTTTCTTCAACGAGAAACTAAATGTCATACTAATTATATATAAAAATTCATGTTTTTTTTCTTTATTATTTGTTCAGCTGCTTCATTGTCGCCTTTAACATGCTACAACAGGGCTAAAAATGATGAATCCCAGAGAAAAACCCCCAAAAAACCTCTGATATCTAAATAAGTACCATGAACCACATGATGAACTAAGAGGGGAAGATTTAAAACCCACTAAACAAGAGGTAAACGAGATCACCAGATAAATAAAAAAGGCTTAAAACAGACTCACCATATTTACAATTCCCATTAAATTACACATAAATAAATATATACATACATGAACACTGATTCCCTTATATAATAACCGTGAATCGTGTTGCAATAGAAAGTTCAAGCTGGTCGCTTTACCTTGGACAGGAAAAAGTTCTACAACTGAAGATATGACATGGAACTGCTTGTGTTTTGTGTTCAAGTTTATTCACAATACTGATAAAACGTCATCAGTCCTTTTTGCTTTTGTTTGTTTGCTGCTGCTGTTGTTGTTGCGCTTTTTTCGCTTTTTTTCCTTTTTTTAATATGGCTACAATCTTAACTGAAGTTTATGTAAGGGAAGGTGGTGATTCAGTCCGGTGAAGCTCATAGAATTTTTTAAGTATTATTTATTTCTTTTTGTTTTTTTTTTATTATTTTTTTTAATATATTTTTAGAAAAAAGGTCCTTTTTTGTTTTGGTTTTTTTTTGTGTGTTTTTTTCCTCCTTTTGTTTTATTAAAAAAAAAAGTTCACAAACTCAAGACAGAACTTTCTTCCTTGCTGGCTCCGTCCCCCCGCCCTGTTCTCTCGGGCTCCAGAGCGGGGTAACACGACAGCGCTGCTGGGAAGGGGGGCAAGTTCGACAGGAGCACGTGGAAAAGTGGGCACCGGGGGGATGTGGGGAGAGGGCAGAGCAGTCCTGGGAGCCAGAGAACAGGCTGGCCAGGAGGACCCTGGTTCGGGTCCGTTCCTGGGGTGCGGGCTGTGGGGAGAGGGAGGAGGGAGCTGCACGGAGCGGTGGCTACCTGGGGGCAGGGAGAGGAGCTGGGGGAGTCCTCACTTTCGGTGCTTCTCCTCTTTGTCGCCGCTTTTGGTGCTGTTGTCCGTGTGGCTGTTGGGGTTGTTGCTGAGGTACATTTTGTCCATGGCCTTGAGCGCCTCGGTGAGATAGTTCTGCAGGGCGGTGACGGCCGCGCACACTGCGGGGCTCCCAAAGCCGTGCGAGATGAGGTTGAAGTGGGTCAGGCAGCTCTGGATGCCCGGCTCCAAAATGGGGTTGGGCCGTGAGTTGCCCAAGGGAGATCGGTCCTGAGCCAGCAGGTCGGTGAACTCTTTACAGATCTGTCTGCAGCACAAACGGAGCAGGGATGCAGGGGAAGGGAGAGGACGAGAGCAGTGAGCACCTCTGCTGCGGCTGCACAGCCCCCACGTTGCTCCCTGCCGCCTTACACCAGCGCCGAGAGCAGGGGGCTGCTGCCCTCCCCACTGCCGCCCTGCCCCCAAAGTGGCACGCGTGCCTGGCCCCTGCCCCTACCACCTCGCACACAGTGCTGGCAAACAGCACGCACACGCACCCACCAGAACGTGCACACGAGTCCTGCCCCTACCCCTACCCCTACCCCTCGGTTTTCCTTCTCCACACACGCCTCTTCTGAGCAGGATTTTGGCACTGAATCAACAGCAGTTCAAAGTCTTCCCCCGGCAACACAGAATAAAAGATGGGGTGCAATAACCACAGGGAGGCTCGAGTGTTTATTCACATTTTGGAGGATACCTTTTTAGAACTGGACATACTCAGATCTCTTCCACCACAAGGCTAAAATACGCCTGGGTGTCAGGAAGAAAGACAGAGTGAAGTCGGAAAGCAGAATCAAGGCTTTAAAATGAAGTGTTCCAAAACACTTTTGTGTGCACATCTATATTTCCAAACCCAAAGGATCTTCCCATGGAAGGAAAGGCTGACGCTGAGCTCTGGAAATTTCCTTCCAGGGAGGTGAAAAGAGGAGTTGGGAGCGCATAGTGCAGAAGCTGCATTTTATCATTTCCTTGCTGCTCCAGTGGCTGGGGGAATAACACGCCTCATAGCAGGAGCTTAGGGCTGTGCTGAAGCAGTCTGTGTTCTGAAAACCGTGCTAATGTCTTCCAGCCAGAAACCCGTTCCCATCTTCTGCCTGCGCCCTCTGGCACTGTGCCCTTTGGTGACACCTCCATTGGTAATTAAGGGCTACTAAACAACCCTTTTAATTTCCAGCAAACATATCAAAACAATCATTTTCTCTTCATGCACCACCTGGAAGTCTAGGCAACCCCAACAATGATAAACTCCACTAGCATTTTAATGGCATACAGATTGCCATTTTAAATATATTTTTAATATCCTTACACTCACCAAGTAACAGAGCTGCTTAGCAAGAAAGAACCATTGCAGATTTTAATGAATTGAAATCAGTTTAATGCACCAGTTTAATTTTACTGTCAATAGGAAGCCTTCCCCTCCTTACCAATCTAAATTGGTAAGCTACGTGAAAAGACCCAGAAAATGTTTGCTTTGAACAGTTATTGTTTCTTCTTTAACTAAATAGCCACCCACAATTTTCACAACCCTCTTCCAAGGTAATCTGCATAAACTGACTTGAGGGGAACCAAGCTGAGCTACGTATAGGCTGGACTACATACAGGCCTTGCTCCCCTATAGCACGAGGACAGATATAATTTGCAAGGCCATTAGCCACTGACTATGAGGCAAACACGCGCGCACATACACACACACACACACACAGTTAGGAGCCCCAGACCCAGGTTCACCCCTCCCTTCACAACTGAATAACATGCCAGGAAGGTAAATGTCTTACTTTGTAGCTAGAAGCATGTTTTTTCTTGTGACTTGCTCGTTTGGATCGGAATGTTGTCGGTTGAGAAATTCAGCTACTGCTTTGGCAGGAAATTCTGTCTCACAAACGTACCCAAAATCTCTAGCTAGATGTACTGCTTCTCCTGGAAAGTGAGGCGTGGGTGCGAGTGGGAGGGAAAAAGATCTGATCAATATACGTAGCACAAAGGCAAAAAAATCCATTAAAAAGGCTATTTTCTCCTTGGGTTTTTCTTCTTAAAAGGCTCAAATATTTTTGTTTTAAAAAGATACTGTGAGAAATGTGAATCACATCTCATCTTGTAAGGATTTTCTTTGCTTCAGACTAGGGCCAGGCCAAATGATATGTTCAAGACAATTGTTAGGGGTGAAATCAAACATTTCCTAAAGTGCACGTGGGCTAGGCAGGTCCGCTCTATCCACGTAGAGCGCGTGCTTATATTCACATGGAAATATGTATGCTTACCCAGCCAGCCATACATTTCATTCAAAGCTATTTACTCGGGAGGTATTTCTTTGCCTCAAGTACATGCCTCTATATTCTCTTGCAATGCATCAATGATTAATATTGATCATAATTACTCCTAGAGCTCTTCTAAATAAAATGCATTAAACAGCTAAGTGTTTAAAATTTAACTTGATCGCATATAATTATACGTTCACCTCCAAACGATTAACCATGAGAATTTTAGGGTCATTCCACCCGGTCTGTCTGTTTTGTTGATTTTCAAATCTTTGGTTTTAATTTCCTGAACCAGTTGGTTTTTACTGCAGGGCTTCCTGCCATTAGCTCCAGCTCCGGAAGACGCATGCGCCAATTAGGGCTTCAAAGCCTCAGTCCAGTGAGCTTGTTTCCATAAAATGGAGCGGATCATAAACAATAACAGTGCTCGAGAAACTGCCTCATCACGACGGGACTCAGAGCCCAAGCAATGTTTAGGCTATCGTCTCCCCACCAAAACCAGCCTGAGTTATCTGGAGAGCACGCCAGGGTTGTTTTTTAAAAATTATTCTTTGAGAAACATTGTAGGTGAAAGCCAAACAGAACAATAGATTACCATAAAACGTTCTCCATATTCATTAACATCACAAAAAACGCTAAGTGCCTACCAAATCTAGACTTTTTACAAGTTTTTTCCCTCCAGATTTTTTACTATGGCACTTCGGTGCAATTGCAAAGCCTCTTTAAAAGCAAGAAAACAAATGCAGAGCAGCTAATAATCAGAATATTAAATATATATGCATAATGCAGCTTGGCTTTGTGCAGTATTTCTCTCCTGGTCTCTTTGAATGTTTAGCATTTCTAGCAAAGCAGCACCAAAACAAAGCTACAAACTCCCTTCCAAGCAGCCAGACTTCAGCTGATCGGCACCTCATGGCCTGAAGTTAAAAGCTTTTTGCAGACTAAATCACTCTAAGACGCTATTGAATCAAACCCCAAAAATGAAGAGAAAGGAGCAGGATATATTAAGTAGATTCAGGTTTACCTTGGACCAGTAACTGTGACCAAGTAACTATTTTAAAACAAGACGATCTCCAAACTCTTTGAGCCTCCCACATCTGAGTTTGGAAAAACCTGGGATACCTGAAGGTGTTACAAGAAGTTGCACCTTTTCTTGCCAGAGTGAAGTAGGGGAGAATGATATAATGAAGGGAACATATGTTCTGAAAATGAGAACCAAAAGGGAGGAGGGCTGGGTGCAACTTTGAGGCTCTCAGGACACCATTAATTCATGGCTTAGGTCAAGGATTCCCAAATTAATTCAGGAAGTAATGGTCACGCATTTCTCAAATGCAGATGTCAGAAACCTTAAATGATTTACTGTTATGTTTCTGGGGAGGAGGGACAGTCTAAAAGAAAAAAAAAAAGGCTTTTTTTTTTAAAGTCGCTGCGGTGTAAATTTGCTTGGCTGTCCATTGGAGGAAGGAGTGTGGCACGAGAGGAACTACAATTTCTGCTCCCTGTACCTATGAACTCGCATGACACTTTTAGGTCTGAGCCTGTAGCCCTGGTTCTCATGGATCCTTCCCATGGCTGCTGCTCCCAGTGAAAACCATTTAGCCGGGGGAGGGATTATTCAGTTGAATGAGGGAGCAAGATGGGACCCTGAAAAAATCTAGTTCAAAGACTTAAAAGCAAATACATGGTGGAATGCAGTGCTGATTCTGCAGGATCCTTTTAAGTCCATTTCAGGTTAAAACAAAAGGCAAAAATACACAATTCACCTCTTTTTTTTTTTTTTAAACAAGACTCAAAGATTAAACCAAATGATCTTTTCAAACACAGAGAACCAACTTGAAAAATAAAATAAAATAAAATCAATAAAAAAAAGAAAAAGAAAGACTTATCCTGTGAGGCAAAAACAACACTGGCATTTTCAAAACAAACCGTCTGGGAGCACAGAGACACTTACCCTCCACTAGCGATGTGAGCAAGGTAACATTAGCAGCTTTGCGTCTCCCGGCTGGCAGGTTTAATCCTATTTTGTCCAGTTTTTCTCTCAAAGATCTCCCTCCATTTTTAGACTTCGCCCTGTTTCACACAGAGAGATGCTTAGAACAAAACGAACCAAGCACTGGGCTGTATTTCAGCCCCCTTCTATAAATTACCCCAAACCAACTGGAAAAGGTCATACCCCAGGGAGAAGAGACATGGGTAAAGGGTTTTGGGGATGGTTGTGTGATGGGGAAGTGAGGAGCAGAAACTGCTGAAAGCAAAACGGAGTATGAAATGTACCTTTGCTGACCTACGGGCATTCGGCTTCACATTTAAATCTGCCCAAACCGCCACACAAACTAGCGCAGATTTCAAAAGTTTTAGCACCCCGGGTGTTCACCAGCACCTCCGGGTAGCACCCGCCACAACAACAGCAGTAATAATGATAATTTTCTAAACTCCCAACACACTCTGGCCCTGAGGGGAACTGTATTTTCACCCAGCTCTCTTGCGATAGCTGCTGCATTATTTAGCAGACTAATCTGCAAGGTTGAGAGCCCACGTCGCCGGGAGGGAGCCCAGGGGTGTTTGGCAAGCACGTGAACACATAGAAGCAGCTTATCTGCTCTTTTTGGGCAGGGGTGGCTTTACACAAACCCTCAAAATCCGAGTTTCGTTAATTAATTCTGGATTTTATTCCCTATCCAAGCACTCCTTAATTGTCTGGATTAGATTATAACCTGCAGGGAAGTAGAGGACGGGGTGCCTACAGACCATGTGTCACTCGAACGGAGAGCTGAAACTTTTCGATGCGATTCTTATTCTTATTCTTATTCTTATTCTTATTCTTATTCTTATTCTTATTCTTATTATTACGGTTATTATTTATTTTGCATGGCCGTTATCAGCCCCACTGGCTCATCGGGGGACGGGGCTCTCAGCCGCGATGCGCGGGGAGGGGAGGGGACGGGTGGGAAGGGGGCTAACGGACAAGGCCTCGCGTTGCCATAGTTACCGCGCGCCCCGCCCCCTAACGGCCGAGCACCGCCTACGCCTC